CCACTGTGTGGGCTCCCTGAAGTAAGCTGCTTCAGAGGATTAGAAGCCACAGATTGACACTCACATTTTGCCTTCACCTGTGTTAATTTCCGACAGCAAATGAGAGTCAGGGATATGAGGTTTGCCACCGGGACCCAGGACTTAGTGAAAAGCAGCTCTAATATCACTAACAAAAGCAAACGATAATAATAGCTGTACTTACATTGGGCTTACCATGTGCCGCTTTGCATTAATTAAAGTCATTCATATAAGAGCTCTATGAAGTTGGCAACATTTGCCTCAAAGGTGGGTAGAGTGAAACAGTGTGTGTTAATGTGGCAGGTCCACATGGCTGGTCAACACGGAGCCAACATTCTTACCCAGGATTACTCAGCCTCTGCTACCAACTAATTGGTATACACACTACTGCGTGTCACACAGAAATAAACAAAACAGAACAGTCCCATCAGGCTGCTATAACAAAATACCTATATACTGGGTGATTTAGAAACAACATACTTTTATTTCTCGAGGTTCTCGAGGTTGGGCAGTCCAAGATCAAGGCGCTGGCAGATTTGGTGTCTGGTGAGGGAGCATTTTCTGGTTGCTACATGGCACATTCTCATTGTGTCCTCACATGCTGGGAGCAGCGAGGGAGCTCTCTGGAGTCTCTTTAGCAAGGGTGATAATACCATTCGTGAGGGCTCCACCTTCATGTCCTCATCACTTCGCAAATGCCCGCCTCCTAATACTGTCATGTTGGGGGTTGTGATTTCAACATATGTATTTGGGGGGAACACAAATATTCAGACCATAGCATTGGCTTAAGAACTAATTCCATACTGCTTTTACTGCTCAGCTTGATTAGGGCCTGAAATTCTTCTTCTTGCCACTATCATCATCTTTTGGAGACAGAGTCTCACTCTGTCACCCAGAGTGGAGTGCAGTGGTGCAGTCTCAGTTCCCTGCAACCTTGATCTCCTGGGCTCAAGTGATTCTCCTGCCTTAGCCTCCCGAGTAGCTGGGACTAGAGGCATGGGCCACCACACCTGGCTAATTTTTGTATTTTAAGTAAAGATGGGGTTTCACCACGCTGACTGGGCTGCTCTTGATTGAACTCCTAATCTCAAGTGATCCGCCCTCCTCGGCCTCCCAAAGTAGAGCCTGAAATTATTTACAGCAAATTTAGGTGTAACTGAGTTCTCTAGAAAACCTGTGATACAGAATTTACCCTCTTTATTCCAAATAGTCTCCAGGTCAGAGAATCGGTTTCTTTGGTCCTGCAGGTGATTAAACCCCAGTTCGTATCATCCTGAGGAGGGGATTATTACCATTGGTAGCTATTTGTCAAATGGGCTTCTAAATGCTTTTGTTATTCTTGTTGCTTTCAAGGCTGTTTCCATTTAGATGTTAACATTTATGTTGCATCATTTTCTTTTGCATGGTACTAAAGGCCTCAGGACTTGAATTTGTTTGTGACTTCAGTTATCCAAACTGTATGGAAAAAAATTGTTTTTTCAAAAATCCACTTTGCATCAATTTGTTCTATGTTCCATACCTACCTTCCAGAAGGTAGTGATACATTAGAGCAGCGGGTGGGAAACTTTTTCTGTGAAGGGCCAGGTAGCAACTGTTTTAGGCTTTGCAGGTCACATGGTCTCTACCAAATCTACACAACTCTCTGGGGTAACCACAGACACGCAAACACATAGGTGTGAGACTGTGTTCTAGGAAAACTTTATTTATTAAAATAGGCAGCTGGCCAGACTCGGCCAAGGAGCCTCGGTTTACTGACCCCTGCATTAAAGGGACAGATTTCTGGCCCACTCCCAGCGGACCTCCTTCCAAGTGATGGAGTCCCAGTGACTTCACACTTCAGGCATCTCTCTGCCCTTGGGTTAGTTTGGCCCCAGGAAAGTGGAGCCATTTATTAGACTGGTAAATGTAAGAATGAACTGTGCCTGCCAGGCTCAATTTCACCACTTTTCCCTAGGCAGTAGCTGGCCCACAGGGGATGGGGTTCTGCTCTTTTTCCTGGTGCCCCCATCTTATTTACAGGGCCCCTCAAATGGCATTATTGTCAATGTTTTTATTCTGTCCAACAGCCAGATGAATTTTATTTCCTTTCAACAAAACAGCATAGAACAAGTTAACACAATAAGACTCCTTACTTTTTCGGCTGTTTATCTCATGCAGTGCATTACTGCTATGCATTAATCATAGTTGATTGGCAGTCACATGAGTATTGCATACTTAAAATGTAAAATTCAGTTAATAAGTGAAATTACATATAGGTAACAGTTCTTTCAAAACATATTGCTCCCAGGAGGAAAACAAAATGAAGTCCCTGATGGCAATGAGATTGGGAAGTTACCATTCCCTCGTGTTTCCCTCCTGTCTTAACATCCAGTGGATAGTCAAGCCTGGGAGAACAGGCAAACAGCGCTGCAGAGACAGATCTGATTGCAAATATCCCTTTCCCCCCTGTCCTTGCATATTGCTCAAAGCCAAGCAGAGAGGAGCTATCAGATACCAAAGATCCTCCCGGGAGCAGGCTGAGGTTTATGGCTGCCATATTTGTCAAGCTGGGGTTGAACAAACTAAGTACCACGGATAAGGTGGCTTAACCAACAGAATTCATTGTCTCACAGTACTGGCACCAGAAGTATGCAATCAAGCAGTTGGTTGTGAAGGAATGTCCTGTTCCAGGCCTTTTCCTGAGGCTTGTAGGTGGCTGTCTTCTCCCTGTGTCCCTTTACCTCATCCTCCCTGATATGGTTTGGCTGTGTCCCCACCCAAATCTCATCTTGAATTGTAGTTCCCATAATTCCCACATGTCCTGGGAGGGACCATCTGGAGATAACTGAATCATGGGGGCAGTTTCTCCCATCCTGTTCTCATGATAGTGAGTTAGTTCTCACAGGACCTGATGGTTTTATAAGGGTCTTCCCTCTTCACTGGGCACTCATTCTTTCTGATGCTGCCACGTGAAGAAGGACATATTTGCATCCCCTTCTGCCATGATTCTAAGTTTCCTGAGTCCTCCCCAGCCATGCTGAACTGTGAGTCAGTTAAACCTCTTTCCTTTATAAATTACCCAGTCTTGGGTTTGTCTTTATTAGCAGTGTGAGAAAGGACTAATACAAGCCAGTCTGTATGTATCCAAATTTCCCATTTTCTCAAGGACACTGGTCATACTGGAATAGGGCTCATCCTAATGACCTCATTTTAATTTGATTATCTCTGTAAAATTCTGTCTCCAAATAAGTTCACATTCTAAGGTACTGGGGATTAAGACTCCAAAACCTAAATTTCAAGGGGACACAATTCAACCCACAGCAGTTGTCTAAACTAGAAACCCGTTTGCTTCTGTTGGTGAGGCTGTCCACGGGTGCTTACAGTTTATGGGTGGCACGCAGGCCAGTGTGTGCTAACCACTCAGAAGGGGAATTTATTTAGGGTCTAGGATTGTGGGGGTGGGAGTGGGAGAGAGGAAGGATGCATTTTCTGGGAACACCGTATACACCATAAGGGAACGATCTCCTTCCCCCTAGACATCTGGCTAATCTATATCCCTCTCTAGCCACTCAAGCCACCAGGACAGCTAGAATTAGAAAGGCCTGTCCCAGTTACGCCTGCAGGCTGAGGGTCCTCAATGAATGCTCCTTTTCAGTAATGACTCCCCTGCCTCTGCATCCTAAGCAAGACAAACTGGGGACATTTAGGAACAATGGTGAGAAGAGAGGAGTAGATGACCCTCAACTGACTTCGAATTTGCTCCTTTTCCTGCCTTTGGCCGCTGGTGGGAGATGCTGGGTGCCCAGTGGCCTTCGCAGACCCTCAGAGTCCATCCCAGGAAGTACACGGGCCAGTGTGGCCAGGACAGAAGAACAGAGGGACCACTCTCAGTCCAGCCCTCCCTGCAGGCGGTTCGCCAGCTATTCCTTCTAGTCTTCTGTTTGCAGGAGGGCAGAGGGTTTCCCGCTCCCTGGACCATCCAGGCCTAGTCCCGGTGGCAAGGCCATGTTTCCTTGTTACGCTGGGCCTGCTGCTGACAGGCCCCAGAGGGAGCCGCGACCAGCCCGCTGGGCTGTCCCTGCTTCCTGCGACCCCCTCCAGACCCTGGGCAGAAAGAGCGCCCTGCTGTCCCGACAGAGCCACTGTGCTTTTCAGGGATCCTGACACCTAGTGGCTCCCGCTCCCTTCTCCGAAGAGCACTGGGTCCCAGCTGAGCATTCCCGCGACCCCCAGCCCCTGGTGGCAGCTGAGACACCCATTCGCGCACCCGGCTCCTCCCACATCCTCGCTCCCGGGGGGTTCATCTGACGCTGGTGGTCGCCTTAGCTGTACTCTTTGGGGTCCAGGTGCCTTGGCGGGAGCTCACCCTCCCTGTCCCCCCAGCTGACCCTGCCGCACCCCCTTCATCCCCATACGCTCCCACCCAGCCCCCTCCACAGGCTGTCCAGCCCCGCCCCTCGGAACCCACCCCTGGTAGTGAAGCCCTGCCCCCAGGGTCCCTGCCCAAAGGCGCACTCCTCCTCTAGGGCCCCTCCACGCTGTGAGCTCTGTCACCATCCCTAGCGGTGCAGCCCCTCCCAGGGACCCTCCTCGCTATGAGCTCCTGCTCCTGTCCCAGGTGGCGCACCCCCGCCCCCAGGCCCCCTCCCCTAAGGTGAACCCCGCCCCCGGGACACCTCCCATACGGTGAGCCCCGCCCCCAGGCCACAGTCCCTAAGGTGAGCCCCGCCCCCAGGCCTCCTCCCCTAAGGTGAGTCCCGCCCCCAGGCCCCAGTCCCTAAGGTGAGCCCCGCCCCCAGGCCTCCTTCCCTAAGGTCTAGTCCCGCCCCCCAGGCCCAGTCCCTAAGGTGAGCCCCACCCCCACGCCCTCTCCCCGAGGGAGAGCCCTGCCCCAAGACCCTTCCGCTGGGGTGATCCCCTCTCCCCCACCCCACCGCGGCCGGCCGCTCGCCCCTGCCCAGTCGCCCAGCCTTCCCGCCTCCGTGCCCCCCCGCGGTCCTCACCCGGGCCTGGCGGTAGTAGTAGCTATGCTCTTTGGGGTCTAGGCGCCGCGGCGGGATGTAGCTGAAGGCGGACTGTGCCGAGACTGGCGGTGGCCTGGGCTTGCCCCGCAGCGTGGACGCGGTGGTCTCCTCCTCGTCGTCCTCCATGCCGCCCCCGTCTAGCGCCCCAGCCTTGGCCGCGGTCCGTCCCGCCCGCCCAGGGGCCCAGTCGGAGTCTGCCGGCCTCAGGTTGCTCAGCGCCGGCGTCTAGCCAGCGTCTGTGTTCAGCCGTTGCCTGGAAACCGCCGCCTGGCGACCCGGAGCGGCCCCGGAGCATTCCCGCTCCAGGGTGGGGCGACCCTCCTCTCCACCCTCCTCTCCTCCCTCCTGGCCCCTCGACTACATCCGGGGTCTCTCCTTCCTTCCGCCTCGGAAGGAGCCCGGCTGGGAAACGCCGCGCGGACCTCCCATTTCCAGCCTGCTCACCTTTCCCAGGCAGCAGTCCCTGCTTCACCCACTGATCACTCGTTCGCGTGACCATTAGTGACTGAGCACCTAGCGTGTGGTGTGTCAGGAGCTGGAGATCGAGCCTTGAACGGAGCAGGCCTTGTCTACAGGGAGCTTACAGTCAGCTGGAGAAGACAGATGAAAGACATGAGGAAGCCAAACGACTTGCTGAGGCCCCAGGCAGCGCTGTGCAATAGAAACATGATGAGAGCCATGTGTGCTGTTTCTTATTTGACTCAGTATGTCCAAAACGTTATCATTTCAACAAATGACACCAGCTGCCTTTCAAGCGCTCGGTGGCCACGTGTGGCTAGCAATTACGGTATTGGCCAGTGCAGGTGTAAAGCTGCATGAATTTACAGATTCTGGCAAACTCAGTTGCTGTGGACAGGGTTCTTGCAAATCCTTTGCCAATGTGGTTATGTTGGCCCTTGATCTGAATGCTGGGTCAATACCTGCGTTCCGTTTGTTGAAAATGTATTGAGCTGTATACTCGTGATTAGTGGGTGTATAGCCAAGAAAGGTTAAACAAAACAAAACAAAAAAAGTTACATGATGGCCAAGGCTTGGGAAATGCTTTAGCCGGGGTGCCTGGGAAGGCCAGCCTGGCTGTGGAGGTGGTGTTTGAGATGAAGCATAGCAATAATAAGAAGCCAGTTCTGGGAGTCTGGAAATCCCTTCCAGGCCGACTTGGTCCTCTGAGGCAGAAGCAGTCTTGTGTTTGAATGGCAGCAGGAAGTGGGGTGGTGTGGCCTCATGAAGCCAGAAACTGGTAGGAAGTGAAGGTGAACAGATAAGCAGGGGCCTGATGGAGAGGTCTGACGGACCATGGAAGGAGCAGTGCCCTGCCTTCTTCCCCACCCCTGCAACTAGGTAGGAATCTCTTGTCTGCCATTCTGTGATGCAGGCTGGTGACTTAAGATGCCTCTCTCATTCCGAGGCACCTGGTGATTCACTCTGTAGAGGTCTCCAGAGTCCTAGAGATCCTTCTGGGCAGGACTTAAGACATCCTGGTGCCACCACGCTTTTTTTTTTTTTTTTTTTCTCTCTCTCTCTCTCTCTCTCTTTTTATTTTAATCTCTCTCCATCGTGGGTCCCCATGAGCTTCCTGAGAAACCCATGTGCCTTCTTTTCCCATTAACACATCTTTTTGCTCCATGGGCAGGCAGAACATGAGTCAGCCGTGAGTCAAGGGTCAGACACCTGCCCACCGTGTCTCTAAGCCCCAGGGGACCTATCACCCTCATTGGAGCCACTTGGTGAGGATGACATATCCCTGGTGCTTGGAGATGGAGCACTGTCTCTCCTACATGTGAAGTGAAGAAAAGAGGGCTCTTATTTTTCTGCCATTGGCTGAAGTCACGAAAGGCATGACTCATACTTAAAGCATCAGCCAAATATGTTTTTTTTTAAGCCCTTATAATCTATTGCCTCTCTCAACCTCTCTCGATGTCTCCAAAGACACAAAAAAGGTCAACTAACGGTCACAAGACTTTGTAAGCTTTGCATCGGTGACCCGGTATCATACTTTGGAAAGTGAAGGTAGTTGAAACCAATTATCTTGGGAATTCAGCTGAAACTGAGACTGAGCTAATTGCTTAATAAAAGAAATTAGTAAAGTTTACGCAGTTATACAGATGTGAATCTGCTAACTTCAATTTCAGTAGGTGACATTTTGTCATGTCCTAGACCAAGATCTCTTGAGGGCAAGGCTACCTACATCTTTTTCTTGCATGGTGATATGGTAAGGCTTTGTGTCCCCACCTTAATCTCATCTTGAATTGTAATTCCCATAATCCCCACATGTCAAAGGAGTGATCAAGTGGAGATACTTGAATCATGGGGGCTGTTCCCCCATGCTGTTCTTGTGATAGTGAGTTCTCACAGGATCTGATGGTTTTATAAGGGGCTCCTCCCCCTTTGCTCAGCGCATCTCCTTCCTGCCACCTTGTGAAGAAGGTGCCTTGCTTCCCCTTTGCTTTCTGCCATGATTGTAAGTTTCCTGAGGCCACACCAGCCATGCTGAACTGTGAGTCAATTAAAACTCTTTCCTTTATGAATTACCCAGTCTCAGGTATTTCTTTATAGCAGCATGAGAACAAACTTATACAGATGGCTCAAGTCTGGCATATAGTAGGAACTCAAATATTTGAGTCTGAGACAAGGGCCTGAGTTTATTTGGGAGCTAATTCCAGGAAACAGGAGAGAGGGACCAAGAGGAGCAAGAAGCGGGAGAGACACCAAGGATGCACTACCCAGGTCACTGCTGAGGGCAACTGGTGCATGGCCACGAACCTTTCTGAGGGGCCTGGAAAGGCCCTGAAGAATTGTCCCAGAGGATCAACATGGAGGCTTGTTTCATCGCTTGCTCCTGTCTGCTTGGTGGAGGCTTGCTCCTTTAATTGTTGACTCCTGAACTTGTACGACCCCTGCCCCGGGGCCTCACAGGCTCCCCTGCAATATCTTGCCTCCTTGGTGTCTGAAGAGCCATGGGGCTGACAGCAAAAGACAGGGGCATGTACTGGAGGTGAGATGCTACTTTCATGAGGTGAGTCATAGCCCCACGGAATGGTCCACCAGAGATGAGGGTGGAATGAGATGTGAGGCCCTGAGGATGCAGGGCAGGGTACCAGAGACAGATGAAACCATGGGCAAGACAGACTTTGGTAATTTTGATTATTAAGATAATCAAAATTTTTAAAAATGTATTTTCCTATATGATCTTATTATGTATTCCCAGGTACATGAGTGGAATACAAGGTCACAGAGTCTGATACATTTGGGCTCTTCATGTCTGTACTTGTACTCAAAAGTTGTGTTCAGGAGAAGGGGAGGATGAAAGAAGCGTGAAAACCCTCCTCTCAAAGGAGGCAAATGAATAGGGTAAGGACACACACTGGGGCTGGGTTAAACATACTGTATTAGTCAGGGTTCCCTCAAGGGACAAAACTAATAGGATGTATATATATCTATATAATGATATATATATATATATATATTTATATGGGAGTTTATTGAGGAGTATTAACTCACATTGTCACAAGTTCCCTGTCCGTTTTCACTCTGTTGATAAAGACATACCCAAGACTGGGATGAAAAGAGGTTTAATTAATTTAACATGGCTAGGGAGGTCTCAGAATCACAGCAGGAGGTGAAAGGCACTTCTTACATGGCAGCAGCAAGAGAAAATGAGGAAGATGCAAAAGCGGAAACCCCTGATAAAACTATCAGATCTCATGAGACTTACTCACTACCACAGGAACAATATGGGGGAAACCACCCCCATGATTCAAGCTGTCTTCCTCTGGGTCCCTCCCCAACACATTGGAATTATGGAGATTTGGGTGGGAACATAGAGCCAAACCATATCAGTCCCACAATCGGCCATCTGCAAGCTGAGGAGCAAGGAGGCCAGTCTGAGTCCCAAAGCTGAAGAACTTGGAGTTTGATGTTCAAGGGCAGGAAGCATCCAGCACGGGAGAAAGATGTAGGCTGGGAGGCTAAGCCAGTCTAGTCTTTTCACGTTTTTCTGCCTGCTTTTATACTGTGGCCACGGTGGCAGCTGATTAGATGGTGTGCACCCAGATTGAGGGTGGGTCTGCCTTTTCCAACCCACTGACTCAAACATTAATCTCCTTTGGCAACACCCTCACAGACACACTCAGGAACAATACTTTGTATCCTTTGGTACAAACAAGCTGACATTCAGCATTAAACATCACACATACAGAGGAGCAGCTCCACCTCAGTGTTTCTTTTCTTTTTCTTTTCTTTCTTTCTTTCTTTCTTTTTTTTTTTTTTTGAGGTAGAGTCTCATTCTGTTGCCCAGGCTGGAGTACAGTGACAGGGTCTTGGCTCACTGCAACCTCTGCCTCCCAGGTTCAATCAATCCGCCTGCTTCAGCCTCCCAAGTAGCTGGGATTACAGGTGCGTGCCACCAGGCCTGGCTAATATTTGTATTTTTAGTAGAGACAGGGTTTCAGCATGTTGGCCAGGCTGGTTTGGAACTCGTGACCTCAAGCGATCCACCCACCTCGGCCTCCCAAAGTGCTGGGATTATAGGCGTGAGCCACTGCACCCGGTCTCACCTCAGTGTTTCTAATGACAACCTTAGGATTATGGGTTGTGCAACCTCCAAATCCCATTCCAGCATCACGAATTTACACAGGCTCTCAGAGCTGACAATCTCTGCACCATTTTGCGCTGCTCTGGCCTAGGCTGACCAAGTGCGCCCTGACGGTGTACACAGCACGGTGATACCCGCCTGCCGGGACTGCTGCTGCCTGCATCTCCCCAACAGATCTTGTGAGCAAATTCCTTGCAGGGACCCTAGCCTATCCGCGAAGGAAAATAGGCAGTTCACAAGAGTTCAGGAGGTGCAGAGGCCACCCTGCAACTGAAATCCCCTGCCATTTATCTTGACATCGGAACAAAACGGAAGCTTTTGAAGTGCTTTTTCTATGAATGTGAGGCAGGGAAGAAGAAACCAGTGACGGCAGCTGTCATGTCCCATTAGCTGTGGCTTCACTACACCTTGCATGGCATGTATGTCATGTTCATCTTGAGTTGATCTAAACCTATGGACTTTTTAAGCTGGGAAGACCTATCTAGTTCATTATGCTGTTGAGAAAACTGACATGAAGGGAGGTAAAGTGACTTGGCACAGGTAACATAGCCAGTGGGTGCACTTTCTGAAAGATGTACAAATATCTCGAAAGAAAGGGCTGGTATGAGGGCTCTCAGCCACTCTGAGGCAGAACATGGCCTGGACAACAGGATGCTTTAGCCAATGACTCTCAGCCAGGCACCTAGCCAGCTGGGAAACACAGTGACATCCAGGTTTCCTCCACCCCACCTTGTAAACCTCTATTAGCTGTGGTGGAATCAGGAGGGAAAGTAACCCGTGAATACATTGAAACACCACCATCTCACTCCCTCCCCTCCTCTCTAACTCTTCTGTTGATAATGCAGAGGTTTTAAACATAAAGTCAATGTCTCCATTTTACACTTAAAAGCTTTTACAATTATTCCATTTTAAAATTGCACTGTAAACTCATTTAAGGGGTCTAACGTGATTGGACTTTAATTCATAGGACTAAAATATCTTAAAATTAATTGGAGTAAGAATTCCTCTACATCTGGTATATTACATGATGGTGCGGAGGAAGAAACACATATAAACACAGGTTTGTAACTAACTAGGAGGATGACTGTCCATCTATATGTCTGTGATGGTTAATACTGAGTGTCAACTTGATTGAAGGATGCAGAGTATTGATCCTGGGTGTGTCTGTGAGGGTATTACCAAAGGAGATTAACATTTGACTCAGTGGGCTGGGGAAGGCAGACCCACCCTTAATCTGGTGAGCACCATCTAATCAGCTGCCAGTGAATATAAAGGAGGCAGAAAAATGTGAAAAGGTGAGACTGGCCCAGCCTCCCAGCCTGCATCTTTCTCCTGTGCTGGATGTTTCCTGCCCTTGAACGTCAGACTCTAAGTTCCTCAGTTTTGAGACTCTGACTAGCTCTCCTTGCTCCTCAAGCTGCAGACAGCCTATTATGGGACCTTGTGATCCTGTAAGTTAATACTTAATAAACTCCCCTTCATAGATACATATATCTCTATATTATATATTATATATATACACATAGATATCTATAAAGGGGAGTTTATTGTTTATATATAAACTATTTATATACATATTTTACATATATACATATATATATAATATTCATTCTGTCCCTCTAGAGAACCCTAATACAGTGTCCCAGAAAATTTTACACATTATGAACTCAAAGGCACAAGCCCAAATAACCTGCTG